GGGGGTAGGTTTGCCGCCGACGCGGGGGGAGGCCGTTCAATGAGAAGGTGCTAGATATCATACTCACCAGTGTAGGGTAGAGAGCGGGTGTGGACACATTCTTGTCGTCCATGCGGTTCTGTCCGGCCTCCAGGACTGCCACCGAGATATTGGGATCCTCTGTCAATCGAGCGGCGACGACCAACCCGGCAGTACCGCCTCCAACGACCACATAGTCATATTTCCGGGAGATCAGTTCATCCACAGAACACAAGGCGTTGGACGTGCCATTAGTTTGGCCATTGACACCGTTGGGGACTGACATGTTGTTGGGGGTTTGTTGGATATGACTACCCGGTCTCGAGACAAAAGAGAGAGGGTATCTGTACCCCCAACCACTTTTCCGGAACCATCGTAAATAGATATACACGGTCGATGTGCAGATCGCCCTTGCTGTTCGGTTCAAGGAGGTACATTGTTGTCCTCAGTTCTCGGCTGGGATGTTTACGTGTGCTTCTTGGAACCCCCGCATTGCATTTCCCCGGACTTTGCCTGAACACAGCCCGAGGGCCGATCTGTTTGCGGGGGCGTGGAGATATACACACCTAGTACATGATGAGGTGATCGTGAGTAAGGTACAGATTGTGGACGAAAGGGGCTCCGGATACCAGATGCCATTGTACCGGGATAGACACATTCGGGGTGTGTGCCATATCTCTGTACAGTGTAAGTCAAAAAGGCCGATCTCGGCGGCTCGCCCCAGCCCCTGTTTGGGGGATTTCGAGATGCTCGAGTAACCGCCAGTGCCAACACTGTCGGGGGTTGAGTTGTCTTTAGCACTGAGAATGCTCGACTCTTGACAGACGAAAAAACCACGTAATTGTTTATTTGCAGTGGGCTCCGCTCACAATTTCCCATCACCTAAATAAGACCGTGGAGGGTGCCATATACCTGTAAATGAAAAGTGGTAACGGCGGTTGGCCCGAGCCCCACGGGGGTTTTTGCAAAGTGAGCTCCGCATTAGCATGTTACGGTCGATATTGTTGGTCTGCTCTAGTCCTCGTCCTGGACGATATGATGATATAGAATAGCTTGGTTCTCCTATGATTCAAAGAAGCGGGACTACCATTTCGGGGATGAACATAGTCAGCATGGATCCTCATCACTCCTGAAAACCGTACCCTGTTGATTATCCACATATAATAAGTATCCAACAAGACATCAGCACAGCTCACCTTATGCCATGTCATTGACCACAGAGATCACTGCATCCCAGCTGTACCGTGCTCGTTCAACCGGAGGCCAACCCGGCAAGGACGCTAGCAGCTGGTGCGAAGAATGTAGACCCGGTCAACGGTCTGGAAAAGTCGAGGATACGATCATGCAGCCCCGGCGGATCCCCAACAAACATGCGATTCAGCATCTTTTCAATCACCCAGAGCCGTCTTGAATAGCCGATGAAATAAGTCCCAAACTCTTTGGCTCCTGAATTGCCGAATGGCATATTGTCTCGCAGGATACTGTACTCGTTGCCGGCCTCATCTGCAATAGTAGTCAGGGTCTTATGTGCGGCTTGCCGGCCGTCCGGAGCATCATCGAGCTCAATGTTGTCCAATTTGGTACGCCCGATAACGGCTTCCTGTTGCTCCGTGGACAAGTTACGCCAGGCTTTCAGGTCGTGCACGTACTTCTGTACCACGATGTAGCTGCCTCCAACGGCGGTTTCTGAACCATCACTGACGTCTTGTTCTGTAACAAGGATCGAGTCGTCCACTGCGGAACCCGCAGGGTTAGCAGTGCCATCGACAAAACCCAAAAGGTCTCGGACGTCAAAATAGCGAAACCCTACGGTTTCGTCAACAACGGTGACTGTGTCGCTGAGCAGATCCATCAGCTGTCGCTCAAACTCGAAGCATAAGTCCCGACGATCTGCTCGAATGTGGAAGAGCAAATCTCCGGGCGTGCTAACGGCAGTGTGGACTTTGCCTTGGACTGTGGGAAAGTCGTGAAGCTCCCGGTCGAGCCAGGCCGTTGGTAACCTGATCCCAGGCCTCGCTGCCGATCCCGACGGTGCATGCAAAGGAAGCCTGGAGGTCGCGAATTGCAACGTTCTTGCTGAGATCGTCAAGTCCGGCCAGGGTGGATCGTACAGTCGATATGGCAGCTGCATCGTTTTTGTCGTTTATTGTCAGGACAAGAAATGTGGCTGATTGTGTCAGGGGAGCGTCGACGCGTTGAGGCTCAATGGGCACGCGGCTGCCCATTTTTGGCCGCATTGACAATTCGGCAGTTTGTACCATGGCGTTGTTTGGAGGAGGAAATTGGTGACGCCGTTCCGATGGACTCCCGGTGCTCTGTCGATTAGCTGTAGCCGGTGCTGATGACTGATACTCCCAGAATGTACGACAAGCCGGCTGTGGAAGCCCACTCCTGCTCCTGAGATAGTTGGATTGAGTAGAAGAGATTCCGTTGCGACACGATCCAAAGAGATTGTTAGCTCTTCTGAAGGGCTTCATTCCACATCTGTTGCCGCTCGAGGTGGCTGATTCAACGATACATCTATAGGTCGTAAATGGGGACGCCCGGTTCCTCTTGCTGACTTAGCACTCAATCCCCATTGCTCGGGTGGCTCATCAAGTTAGCTTCCCTTCCCGTTATGGCTTCGCAGTTCGACCCGCAAAATCAGTATACTTGCTCACAGTGTATGTCCTGCTTGTATGGGGAAGAAGTGTCGGTAAAGATTGCAGTTCTTGGTTAGGATTGTGATGATTGCTCCGGTCGAGACGCTGACGGCGTCTGGCACCACGACGTCTTCCTAACAATATATGCAAGACAGTGCCGCATAATCATTTATCCTGTCCATTAATCCGTGCCATAGATGAGAAGGTGGCGTGAGCTGAGTAAGACAGCTGCATGTTAGGAGAAGTGGCTTGTGTGTGCTGAGAATGCGGGTTGCGATGTAACAGCTGTGTCTCCCGTAGCTCTCACCGGCAGTGACAGGGATTCCAAGGCGGTCTCCAAATATACCAGGTAGCGACCAGGTAGCAATAAGATCGCGGTTAGTCTACCTCCTGCAAGCTTGATACGACAGAAGAGCCAAGATATTAGTAAAATCTCCGAGTCGCATACGTCCAAACATCAGTATCCTCTGACAAGCAGAAGGGATAGCCAACTAGCATGTAACTTCGCGGACTTGGATCGGATGCCGACGGCTACGCCAGCACTACTGAGCGTTTTCGTCAGTTCGGGTGACTTTGCGATCTCAAAAAGGCCGGGCGATGCAATACCCTGCCGTGTCTCGTGCAAACGACAACGAATTCAGAGATATATTGCAAATCTCCGGCGGGAGAAGCCCTGTATGTTCACCTTAGCATGACTATTGTCGACCACGATCAATTCTTGAAGTCCCCAATTTCGGCGACTCGACCGCTTCCCCGTGAGGATATCCCAGGAAGTCCAGCGTGACCCCCAGCCCAGAAGAGGTCAAGCACCATGTAATGTTGGGAGGGACAATAGGAGGTTATCTAGGCGGAGACATCCACTGGAGTTTCGTTTCTGGAGCGCGCCATTGCTGATGTAAGTATAACGGCATCTGAAGCTGCCAATGTGGTCGTTGTCTGCGCGGGAGGTCTCCCTTTGACGAAGTAGCAGCGACAATAAGGTACGGTCAAATGGTCCTGTTACGATGGTAGGTAGTAGTGTATGCGGACACATACTGGTAGATAGAGCGACAACCTCAGTGCAACACACAGTGTATAGCGTGGACTAATTCTGCTTGACATTAAAGCGGCACCGGAAGGAGCCCAAGACGCTCCCGCCGCAGTCTACAACGTTGTACAATGTACAATGTTAGTACTGCACGTGCTGCGCCGTAGCCAGCTTACTAAGCTAAGCACTGCAACGTAGAGCGGGGGTAACCAAAAATAGGCCCCAGGTGCAGTGCAGTGCTGAGATGCGTCCGCCAGGGGAACGTTACTCTCGAGATTGAGCACCTATCAATACCTAGGTAAAAATACAGGGGCAGTATGTGGAAGTCTCAACTTCAAGTTCGAGTTAGGAGGCGGGGCGCTATTCGTTGGAACTGTCCATTTGTTCTGTAGCAGTCGTCCTCACGGCTCAGCCTCAGCGTATCAAAGAAAGCGTGGCGGTTCTCGAACACTCGAAATTCTCCCATTCGTCAAAATCTGCTTCGTACGCAGAAATTTCCACAGTAAATATTTTCTTCAGCTTTGCCCTGCCACTTCCACCCATCTTATCATTATTGGATTGCATCCGCGCGTCGTCCTGATACTGAAAGATGGATGGAGCCAGTGGACACCGTCTCAGAGTCTCGCCGGACTCGATTCATCCGTTTGATGCAAATGGTCCGAACACAGAGTTGGACGTGGACGTTGCATAAAAAAACAATTGCATGTGTTACTCACATAGGCCTCTATTGGGCGACTCTCCCCTGGAATTTTCTCTGACACCGTTGTCTCACCTTGCATTTGTGGTGTTGTTTTCCATTCCCACTTTACTGCTGCAACACTAAGAGGAAGTAGACGCCCTGGTCTATAAGAGATCCTTTGATATATGTATCCCCTGATCAACTGTCCATTCCACCTCAGCCGCTGATCTTTTCTTCATTTATTCTTGACCGCCATATCACGATCTATCCACAATACTATTCCTCCATCTTCCCCAGGGGCTGTTCCTCCATCTTCCTCAGCAGCTCCAGTTGAAGCCTAGATTTCCTTTTGTCCGGGTCCTGAAGTGATTGTTCCTCGTACCATACTTATACAGCAACGCACCTTCTGGAACCATCGACCTCCTGTGCATCGATCTGGTGGGCGGACACGACTACCGAACAACATCAAAATTTTCCACCTCGCCTTTAACACTTTATTCAGCACACGCGTTACACGCGTGCGGCACTAGGCACGTCATCTTGTTTAACGGCTCGGACATTTATTATACTGTCCCATCGATTATAAACAGTCTCCAGTCTTTAACACTGATCAATTCAAAGAGCAAGCCTCCACCGAATTACCCTCCCCCACATACAGTCCTCTACACTCCGCACTATCCATATTTTGAGACAGTTCGAAAACATGTCCAGCTCACAACGGTTCTACGCCGACTACGAAAAGTCGATACAAGGCACAAATGAACGGTCCAAACCAAAGTCAACCAACACTTCCGCCACATCCTCTGCCGCATCTTCGCGGACGTCGTCGGCGGTCTCCCTCGAGCCCTCTGCACCAGTAGCTGAATGGTGTCATCAGCTTCACCAGATTCAAAATCGCCAATATGAATGGTGTCAGGGGTGCTATCCGAAAGTGTCAACATTGAAGGTTCCTTCTCAGAAGATTCTGCGGCAGCAAAGAACGAATCACGAACCAGGCCATGCATATCAATAGTTGCTTCACCTGGTCTTGCGTTCTGGCGGTCACTCTTAGCATGGCGTTGGTGGCGTTGTCCTTTCAAGAACGATTTCGGATTTCCGCTCCTCATGTGAGCGATGATATGATATAATAATACTTTGCACAACACAGACATTACGTCTAAGATGGATGGTCTCGATGCAAATATCAAATCAATATACATATTCAACCATCCACCCTCGAGACTTTTATCGGCACCAATAAATCCCCAATCAAGTATTTTTGGACACAATGTGTTCTGCATGCCGGCGACATTTACTCATCTGTTTACCGGCTTAATAATCGCGGGGCCTTCCTTGCCGCTGAAAAAGAATCTCGTCACGTGATCGATGCCAGCGTCTGGCCACGACGGTGTCGACCGGTACCGCGCTAGGCCGAAGACAGCCACTTCGCCAGAGTTGCTTTCTTCAGTCTCTCCACTACCACCGAAGTGGCATGGCGGCATATCGATTGCGTGCTCTACTCCCTCGCTGATTGTCTGGTTTCAGGATGCCCTACAACACAATTCAGCAAATGTCCACCGCAGCTCGAACCCCTGCACCGTTGCGTGCGCTGATGCCATCGTGGGCAGAGATGTTCCCACCGCAGGGTCTGTGCCGCACTGCAGGGCAGCAGAGAAAAAGATTTGTCGTTGCCATGCGGGAGTCGGCGCCGAGTGTCCTGTTTGCAATCACGTATATCAACCGGCGCAGTCCTAGCTTTGAGCATCCCTTCCACACTTGACCATATCTACCCACGAACTTCGTAGAGCCTGACGCAGTCTACAATCTTACAATCCACGTCAACCCTTTAACATAGCCTCCAAGATGAGTTCCGCTGAAGGACGTCCGGAGCCGTAAGTGATTGCATCTATCCTCGTCGCGCGGTCAACATTGGTCTCGAGCAATCCCGGCTGACATGCGCCGGTCTTCAGTCTCCGCCTCGGCTCTATCGCCCCTAACTTCAAGGCCGACACCACCAAAGGCCCTATCGATTTCCACGAGTTCATCGGTGACAACTGGGTCATCCTTTTCAGTAAGACGAATCTCCAAGAGCAGGGACAAGACGCAGGCTAACAAAGACTTCCTAAGGCCATCCTGAAGATTTCACTCCTGGTATGTGCGAGATTCCCTCTGGTATCTAGTCCTCGAGCCTAAGCAGGACATGGATACCGCAAAGTTGCCCTACTAGGCGAGTTCCCACTGACGAGCATTAGTGTGCACCACTGAACTTGGAGCTTTCGCCAAGTTGGAGCCTGAATTCGCGAAGCGAGGCGTCAAGTTGATTGGCCTTTCCGCCAACACCGTCGACAGCCACGGCGACTGGATCAAGGATATCGACGAGATCAGCGGCAGCCACCTGAACTTCCCCATTATCGGAGACAAAGACCGCAAGATCGCACTTGCGTACGACATGATTGACCACCAGGACGCCACCAACGTCGATTCGAAGGGCATTGCCTTCACTATCCGATCGGTCTTCATCATCGATCCCAAGAAGACCATCCGCACCATCCTTTCCTACCCAGCCTCGACTGGCCGTAACACCGCCGAGATCCTCCGGATCGTCGACTCGCTCCAGACTGGCGACAAGCACAAGGTCACTACGCCAATCAACTGGGTTCCTGGAGACGATGTCATTGTGCACCCCAGCGTTAAGACTGAGCAAGCCAAGGAGATTTGGCCAGAGCTGAAGATTGTCAAGCCATACCTGCGGTTGACACCTCTGCCAAAGGAGCAGACCAGTGCGGCTGTCTAAACGTGCCGCAGCATTTGAAATGGGTCCATGCCACAAGATTTGCTGCAGTTGAGCGGTTTTGAGATCGCCATGCGGGATTTCCCGCTGTTGCGCTTCTAATACTAGTATAGGATAGACGCAATGAAAGCCTTGTGGAAATCATTTCAGAACATCTGGGAACCAACGATAAGATGTCGTCCGAGAGCCACGAGTACACTTACTGTAGCGAGAAGACAAATTGAGCACACACCCAGGGCTGCTATCGACATGAGTGTCCGGTTTCGGTCACAGATATCGTAGTGCATATTGGTTCAAGCCACCGCTGCCCGCCGGCCTCCTGTCCACCGGATCTAACCAGCGCCATCCGGAGATGGACAAGTCAAGATCGCAGTGTCGTCGACCCTTGTACCCGGTCGGCAGGTAGCCGGGCTTCGCCGTTCAAAGGCGCTGCCACAACAGGGCAGAATGAGCAGCTGTGTCTGTGTGGAGCAGTTGCGGTAACACACCTGATGGTTCTTTGGACATACAAACTTGATAGATGTATAAAGTACTAACTACTACATGATACAACCGGGTTTGTTTTGTCGTTCACGTAGAACGCGGATTCTGCCAGATGCCGGCTTGGCATCGATCGGCGAGATCGATTCAGCTGTCGAGGACAAAACGCCAATGCAGTGCGGTGAGTGCTGCACCAACTACTGGCCTGCACACTCCATTGTCCACACACTGCATCGCCAATTCTCCTGCTGCCAGAGCGTGCGTGGTACAGCTTGGGAGTTCGTCCTTTTCATTCGTCTTGCTCGCAGATACTCGTCGCGAGCCTTGCTTCCATTTTGACTGACGTGCACTCGACAGCGGTTTCTCCAGACGCCCCTTAATCCTGACGCCCGCCAGAGTGACACGGGCCTTGATGACCACCCTTCACGTCGCAAGCGTGGTCCCGAGACAAATCCTTTGTCTACCGGTAAGTGGCTCTCTTTTCGTCCTGCATCATTGCGGTCCTCCTTTGACTGGTTGGCAACTCGGCTGCTTGCTGTTATCTCATTTGGCGAGTGCGAGCTCGTGTTCGTCCCTATGCGGTCGGACTGGGTCTGGGAAGGGCAACATCGTATCCAGCATACCATCTCTCCAGCGTTGTCCCAACTATTCTACTCAAACTGATTCTGTTACTTGCAACTTGCTTCTGTGTTGCTCTCACAATCTTGCTGTCGCTGCTTCTGGTCCCATGGATATTCAAAGCGGCTGAAGAACGCGGCCGTGCTGACCATGTTCCCCAGATTTCGACGTAACGGAGCTGTGGACAGGCAGAGACCGCCTCCTTGGGTCCAGCCTTCAAGATTCTTGACTTCACACCTTGACCCACCATCACCTGAGGAACAGAACTGGCCACCCACGCCGCCGTCTGCTACGGACAGTGACTCGAGATCCGTAGGCAGCGCCTTGACTCTCTGGCCGAATCCTTCGTCGCCCGTAGTAACTGGTTACAAGCCTCTCAGCACCAAGGGCCGGCATATCCCAATCGACATCTCCAAATACCAAGTTACCGAGTTGCCCGTTCATGACTATGCAGACGACTGCACTGGCAAATCGACCACGACAACACGACTGCCTCGTTATGTTCCCATAATAATTCCCGACTTCGCACAGCCATTCGCACACGAACTCCGGTCTGCCACGTCAGAGTCCGACATTAATACCTTACGTGCCTTGTCGACTCCTACAACACCCACCGCCAATACCGAGAACAGATACTCGAAGAGTTTGGATGCGGTCAACATAATTTCACTGACGGTGGAATCTGTAACCCACAAGTGTCCGACCCCGGCAATTTATGACCAAGGTTCAGTGATGAACAACAGTCAGGTGAGCCTCGTCGCGTCGGAGGCGAGCAGCGAGGCTCCAAATGGGACAGCGCAACCCGCCAATGCTGCGGGAGGAAATACCGGCTTAGGGCCGGGAGTCTCTCAGCAGGGCTCTGCACCAACGAATCTGTCAGGGCTCGTTTGTAATGTGCACAGGACGACTGGAGATGAGCCGCCTGCTTTGGTGGGAGCCACCACGACAGTTCTTGGGGACAAGCTGTACGTCTTTGGAGGCCGGATACACTCGAGGACCAAACCTCAATTGACGTCTGATCTATATGAATTGGATCTCATCCGGCGGCACTGGGTCAAAGTCGACGCTGTGGGTGATATTCCTCCTCCTCGGTATTTTCACAGCGTTTGCGCTCTGGGCGACTCAAAATTGGTCTGTTATGGGGGCATGTCGCCTGCCGCGCACAACAGAAATGCCGGCTCTACTGAACCCCAGCCCGAGGTGGTGGTGATGTCTGACGTTCATGTTTTCGATGTTCCCACACGCAAGTGGACGCTGATAGCCACTGCGGAGCATCCCCAAGGACGGTATGCACACTGCGCTGCGATTCTTCCGTCATCTGCAGTCTTCACCTCTGCCAGCGCACCTCTATCTGCCATTCATCACAACCCCTCGTCCGGCGATCCTCACTCAGGCACGCTAGGTGTGCATCTCGATGGCACCGGCGGAGCCGAAATGATTGTGGTAGGAGGGCAAGACAGCAACAACAATTACATTGAGCAAATTAGCGTGTTCAACCTACGGAGCTTGAAGTGGACTAATACCACCGCCTGGGACCGTAAATGCGGGGCTTACAAGAGCATGGTGGCCCCGTTGACCGGTCTATCAGCCGAAAACATTGGACGCGGAGTACCTCTTCAAGAGCCGAGAGGCAGTTCGCGCGAGGGGACGTCGATGTTGATCTACTCAAACTATAATTTCTTGGATGTCAAACTGGAGTTGCAGATTCGATTGCCCGATGGCTCCCTGATAGAGAAGCCCATGACCGGGCCAGTCTCCCCTCCCGGATTGCGATTTCCCAACGGCGGCATCATCGACGGACATTTTGTGGTCAGCGGGACATATCTTACTTCTTCGAAACACGAGTATGCACTGTGGGCATTAGATCTCAAGACACTCACATGGGCTCGAATTGATACCAACGGATCGATATTTTCCCAGGGGAGCTGGAACCGAGGGATTTTATGGAACCGGCGAAATACATTTGTGATTCTCGGGCATCGAAAGCGGAGCTTGGTGGACGACTACAACCACCGCCGGATCAACTTCAGCCATGTGTGCATGGTCGAACTAGAGGCGTTTGGCCTGTACGACAACCCACGCCGAGTTGCTCCTACATCTTCGTACGTATCCGTGTCGGCCACCGCGGTCCCATTGTCTCTTCAATCCAGCTTGCCCACCCAAACCGCCGGCGGACGTCCATTCAACGCCATGGCGGAACAACTGGGCCAAGCGGCTCTGAGCATGAGCGAGCTGGCAGATATGGAGATCGTAGCATTGGGAGGAGAGAAGATACCGTGCAACTCTTTTATTCTTTCGCGACGTTGGGGGCCCTTTTTCAACCAGCTTCTCGCGGAGTCTGCTTCGACACAAGAGAACGCGAGCATGTCGGACGCGGCGACGCTAAGGCCCACCCACAATGCTCGATCGCAAGCCAATCCCAACCGCAATTCTTCAATCACCATCACCCCGAACCACGCGACGAACGGCTACGGACCACCGCCGTCCGGGTCGTCTTCTGTGGCCGGGACAGACGGGTTCCTGGATCCGCAGCGATCATTAAGTCGATCGACTAACCGAACATTGGTGGAGCTTCCCAACACTACATCGGTGCCGGCGTCCAGCCGTCCACGGTCATTGTATCTGCCTCACATGGCCGCGACTATTCAGTTACTATTGCATTTCTTTTACACCTCTTCCCTGCCGCCCGTTGGGTCGGCATTGTGCACGCCGCATACGCTATGCTCGCTGCTCCAAATGGCTCGACCGTACCAGATTGACGGACTGCTCGAGGCGACGGTTGAGCGGCTGCACGAAGTTCTGGATGGTCGAAATTCGGCCGCCGTGTTCAATGCGGCGGCCATGGCAGCGGGTGGCGGACGAGGCCTGACAGGTGCTGCTGCGGGCGGCATGCTGGCTACATCTATGCCGCTCAGCCGCCGGCGCGAGAGTCAGGCCACCACCATTGCCCCGGAGACTGTTGCTGGCAGGATGGCCGGGCTGAAGCTGGCTACGAGCTACGAAGAACAACAACCAAATCGCAGAAAGAGCCACGGCAAGGCCAGCTCGATCGACTCTACTTCGACGGCTACTTCGGCGTCGACGTCGACTGATGTGTCTCATCCGCCCACGGACAACGAAACCTCGACGCAAGAAAACCATGGCGATCGGGCTTCCGGTGCTGGTGGTGCTGATGGTAGGGGATCACAGCAACAGCAACAGCAACAGCGGGAAATATGGACCGGAGATATTAGTTCTGTTATTGGACTGCAGAAACGAGGTCTCAGGGGACTCATGGAGGGTCGTCGGCTGAGAGAGCGCGCCAATACCGGCGGCGCTGGTGCTGCTGCAACAACAAGTACTGGAGTTGGAATTGGGATGGGGATCGGGATTGGTGCTGGAGGCGAATAAATATAAGAAATGCAGCGAGTCAAGACGAAACAGTAAAATCCGTCTTCTTCAGTCCAGCCTTGTGAGATGTGAGCGTCGAGCGAATAGTCCATTGCGTATTATAGACAAATGCGTACCTAGCTTAAACATGGAAGGAACTTGAGGGACGTTGATTGGAAAAAATGCACGTGCGATTATTTTCTTCGCATGCTCGTCAATCCGCAAATCCAGTTGTAAAGAAATGTTATAAACAATCAAAACATGCCTCGGCAATCCAGAATCAAGTCACACGTCATACTACTGCCCCTGTACATCTTAGTATCCGGTATCAGTTGAAGAACCAGCGAAGAACCAGATCTGCAAGGCAATATGGATGATGGATCTCACTACTACTGTCTAAGTGACTGTCTGTCATATGATTTGGGCCTCCGGGGATTCCGCGAATAAGACACAGTGCAAATAGGGATGGTCTCATAGCATGCTCACAGACCGGGATTGCTGCCGAACTGGAAGAGATATGCGATACTGTATAATATGGAATCTCTCCCTGCCTCCCATGAGGGCCATGGATAACAAAATCGTTTATTATAAGTCGTCCTACAGTAATTTGCACTGTGGTTAGAGTGCCATGTGAGTGCCCAAAGCTGAGTTGAGATTCAATCGGGGTGGAAAGTCCGGGGATTGGATCAGACTAAAATGATTGGGGATTAAAAAATGCCGACTGTTGATTTGTTCGTTCGGCATCTGCTGACGATGACGCTGATGCTGGAATTGGCATGTGAAATTCAAGCACAGGCAATAATGTGCGTTGTACACAACCTCAAGTCCATGCGCCACGTCTTGTCCTGTCTTGTGACCTTGTTTGCATCTCCCCTGCATCTGCATTGGTGTTGGATCAGCTGTAACAAAAGCATTTGTCCTGCCTGTTCGACCGAGGCATCTCTCTCGACTGATTATTTACACGACTACATCCAAGTCTTGTCTTCTTATTTCTATCACTTACCTGGTATTCAACTCTGCCTTTCTTAGTATCTACGGGTTATTCCAACTGCCTTCCTTGCCCTCGCCGTGACCGCTGCGGTCCCAAACAGACATACATACCTACTCCGCTACGCTCCGCGCGATAATACCTACCTCTCTTCGCTTCATAGGACCAGACTAGGCAGTCATGTCCAAAACATTCTCCCTCGCCGACGTGGCCTCGCACAATAAACCGGACAACTTGTACATTGTCGTGGATGGGGATGTGTATGATTTGACAAAGTTCCAGGATGAGCATCCAGGTATGTATCCCCCAAAAGACGCCGGGTTATGCCGGTCAGAAAGATGTGTGTGCTGACTGCTGTTTGTCTTGTAGGTGGAAAGAAGAGTAAGTTGATCTGCAAACTCCCATGGAACGCACCGATAACTCCGAGTGCAACGATGCGGAATACCCTTTTGTCTCTCTCCTGTCTAACACCATCCAGTTCTCCAACGCGTCGCCGGCAAAGACGCCTCCAAGCAATTTTGGAAATACCACAACGAGGGCATCCTCAAGAAATACAAGGCCAATTTGCAGGTCGGGTCGTTAGACTCGAAAAAGGCCGAAGCACCACCCACTCCTCCGGCCACGCCTCCGCCAGCAGAGAAGAAACAAAAGGTCGTGCCCCAGGCAGAGTCCGGCACCGTTGCGCCAGCGCCAGGGCCGGCTGCGCAGGAAACAGAATCCGCCGAGGCGCTGGATCCATTTGGATCTCTGATTCCGTTTGCCGACCCAGCATGGTATCAGAGTGTGAGTAGTGGACAATATTGACAAATTTGACGACTCTCTAATTTTGGTCATTCTAGTACCATTCACCCTACTTCAACGAAACGCACGCGGCTCTCCGCGCCGAAGTTCGGGAATGGGTCGAATCAGAAATTGAGCCGTATGTGACGGAATGGGACGAGGGCAAAAAGGTGCCCGACAGCATCTACAAGCAGATGGGCGAACGAGGCTACCTGGCCGGTCTACTGGGGGTCAAATACCCTGCCCATCTGACGCCGAACCGGGTCAAGAGCGTGCCCCCGGAGAAATGGGATTTGTTCCATGAGATGCTCCTGACCGACGAACTGTCCCGAACCGGTTCTGGAGGGCTTGTCTGGAACCTGATCGGTGGATTTGGGATTGGATGCCCGCCGCTCGTCAAGTACGGCAAGAAAGAATTGGTCAATCGCATCCTCCCGGGCATCCTTGCAGGTGACAAGAGAATCTGTCTGGCCATCACGGAACCCGACGCCGGGTCTGACGTGGCCAATCTGACCTGCGAAGCCAAGCTGTCCGAGGACGGCAAGCATTACATTGTCAACGGCGAGAAGAAATGGATCACCAATGGTATTTGGTGCGATTACTTCACGACCGCGGTAAGGACGGGTGGGCCCGGTATGAACGGAGTCAGTCTGTTGTTGATTGAGCGAGGCGAGGGCGTCAGCACCCGCCGCATGGATTGCCAGGGTGTCTGGAGCAGTGGCACCACATACATCACGTTTGAAGATGTCAAGGTGCCTGTGGAGAATGTGCTGGGCAAGCCGAACAAGGGGTTTCAAGGTAAGCGGCCGAGAACGAGAAATGTCGGATTTTATTTCGTTTCGTGGGCTAACTTTTGTTCTCGTTAGTTATCATGACCAACTTCAACCACGAACGTATTGGTATCATCATCCAATGTCTGCGGTTTTCCCGCGTGTGCTTTGAAGAATCGGTCAAGTATGCATCCAAACGCAAGACGTTTGGCCAAAAGTTGATCAACCACCCGGTCATCCGGATGAAGTTGGCACATATGGCCCGCCAAATCGAAGCCAGCTACAACTGGCTGGAGAACATTGTCTATCAGTGTCAGAAGATGGGCGAGACCGAAGCCATGTTGAGGCTCGGTGGTGCCATTGCCGGTCTCAAGGCCCAGGCCACCACCACGTTTGAGTTCTGCACCAAGGAGGCCGCCCAAATCTTTGGTGGTCTGGCTTACTCCCGCGGCGGCCAGGGCGGTAAGGTCGAGCGGCTGTACCGCGATACTCTGGCGTACAAGATCCCCGGTGGCAGCGAGGAGATCATGTTGGACCTGAGTATTCGGCAGAGTCTGAAGGTGCACAAGGCGCTGGGGATGAAGTTGTAGAAGAGTGAGCAATCTCAAATGTATACCTACCTATATACACCGTCCACGATCCTATAGGGACAACTTCAATTGGAGTATGCCACTGTATATCACCAAAAAACATGTTGACATAACTACCTAGGTACAATGTAACGGGAGATGTTGACGACTGCACACTCCTTTATGTCCGATAGCAACACAAGGCTTGCGAATTCTACAGTGTATCGGCACCTTCTTAGCCCAGCATGTCTTCTAGAGTATGTCGTCGACGGTGGAGGTTCAGGTGATCGGGGCGTAGGACACAGGACTATAAATAGTGTTCATGCTACTTGTTCATTACGGCGGATCATGCAGGTCCCGAAAACGTCACCGATCTGGACAGAGATTTTCGTCTTCGTCGGTTCGATTTCCAGTTCCTTACCGACCAAGGCAGTGCTCAACACCACGCTGGCCGGCTGAATCAAACCTTGCCAAATCCATGTCCTTCTGCAACCATCTCATGCGTCCCTGCAGTAGATTCACCATGCGTTCAGCATCCATTCGCTAGCCATGCTCAACCGGCAGCCCCGGTCCTGGCATCGCCGTGCCATGGTCCGCCTATCCCAGGAACCGGCGGCGCTTACACACCTTGCGATTCGTCGCTGGTCTCAGACAGCAGCTGGCTGTACTCGTCATGGCCGAATGAAACCTCATTTTTCCACTCCATTCCCCAGTTCTGTCCAGGCCGTTTCTCTGCCCTTGACGTCGCGGCCTCTCCACCATGCGAACTCAACCGAACCCTGGCTTACGTCGCTCGATCTTTGCACGCCACCCTCCGAGTCTGCGAACAGAGGCAGGGCTCTTTTTTTCTCGTTGGCAATGACCGGTTAAATATCTACCCTAGTGTTCCTGAGAGTGCTTCCTCCACTATTCTTCTTGTTCTCAAACAATCGTTTGTGCTTTGTATTAGTATATACTCTGTATTCTTCTTGGATCTCTTCGGTGTTCGCACTCGCTACTGACATTGAAACTGATATCCATTGCGACCTACTCCCACCATGCGTGTCGCCCAAGTCCTTGCCTTCGCGGCTGCCCTTCCCTCCGCCCTCGCTGCCTATAAAGGCTTCAACTATGGATCCACCGGCCGGGACCAGGCGGCTTTCGAAGGCGAATTCAACTCGGCAAAGAACCTCGCTGGCTCAAGCTTCACCTCCGCCCGCCTGTACACCATGATCCAAGATGGCACCACCAACACCCCGATTTCGGCCATCCCCGCCGCCATCAACACAGGCACGACGTTGCTGCTCGGTCTGTGGGCCTCGGGAGGTGATGCTCAGTTTGCGAACGAACTGACCGCTCTTAAAAGTGCCATTTCTCAATATGGGAGCGCTTTCACCGACTTGATTGCCGGAATTAGTGTTGGATCGGAAGACATTTACCGCATCACACCTATCGGCATCTCAAACAACGCAGGAGTCGGTGTTGGCCCAGATGTCATCATCAACTACATCAACCAGGTTCGCTCGGCCATTGCGGGGACTTCTGCCGACGGCAAGCCTGTGGGTCATGTCGACACCTACAATGTGTGGACCAACTCCAGCCAGAACGCCTTGATTGCCGCCTCCGACTTCTTGGGCGTCGACGCATATCCGTACTATGAGACGACCAAGGAAAACAGCATCAGCAACGCCAACGCCACTTTCTGGGACGACTATGAGGCTGCAGTGGGTGTGAGCCAGGGCAAGCCGGTATGGATCACCGAAACCGGTTGGCCCGTCTCCGGTCCTACCTCGAACGAGGCGGTTGCCTCAGTCGACAATGCCCGGACTTACTATGAGGACGTTGCTTGCCATGCTTTTGCCAACGACATCAATACCTGGTGGTACATTCTTCAGGACACTGGTGCCGACCCTAGCTTTGGGGTCGTTGGAGCCGGTACTCCTCCTCCCACCACTCCGTTGTACAGCTTGAGCTGCTAAGCGGTGCGGTGCATTGTATTTTTACTCGCATCAGACGGTGGTAATTTATGCATGATAAACGAACGAAGCAAAATCGGGATATGATATGGGAACGACATATTAGATTGGGTACCACCAAACTAGACAGTAATGAAATTATAATCACATCGGAACAGATGAAATGGGGTATTATTGTACGCTCACTCGCAGTCTTTGGAGGCTTGCTACTCCGCAAGAATGTCAGCGAGCACTGACCCGAATCGTCCTCTTCTCCAGGATTAGGTGTCCATTATTATCCTGCTGATTTGCGCAGTACTCAACCCCCGATTGGCGAATGCTGCGAATTCCGCACGTGACCAGAAAGTGTCCACTAACCGCATCGGGAAATGTCAACATAAACAAGTCGAGGCTCGTTCACTGCAGACCAAGTCACGGTGTGTTGTTGTTTGCTTTGCTCTTTATCTTACCACAACTCTTACCTCATTTGCCTCGTCTGATGAGCGGATACTAACAACAGGCAAATAAACATTCTCGGTCTTTGTTCCCAGCGACGACGCGACTTCGATCATCGCCAACGCTGTCTGCAGCGAGATGCATTGATGACCCAAACGGAACACCGACTGCGCTTCTACTGAGTAGTAGACATTGACGAGCGATTGCGCGCTGCCGACACCCCTTACCTTACACCTCGACCGACAACAAAGACCTTGCACCATCTGTGCTAAGCTTACTGTCTTCTGAAGCACCTTACCCTACATTCCCACGTCCACTCCAGTTTCACTGCTGTGGTTCACCGCGCCATGGCACCAAGAAGAGCGGCGGCTAGTCCAGCGAAGCCGCGCCGTGTTACACGCGCCCGCGCAGCTGATGCCGAAACCACGATGGCTGTCGAGGAGCCTCCGAAACGCAAGACTTCCGCGGCTGCGGCCCGAAACACCACTGCCGCATCACGAGCGAAAACCAGTCGGACGACGAGCGCAACTGAAGCAGCGGCGACTACCACATCTCGAACTAGAACAACCCGATCTGCACCAACCACTACCACATCAGCCATGCCTACAACAACTCGCACTAAATCACTAGAGGCAAAATCGCGTGTGACGAAGAAGACAGAGTCAAAGCCGTCCAGAGCCACGAGAGGAACTAAGTCTACCGCCAGAATCTCCAATGTTGCTGCCGCATTGGAAACCATCGAGAGCGGGGATGAAGAGGATGAGATTGCCTTGACCACCGTGTCCGAGCCGGCGACCAAGACGGCCAGGTCGACACGTACCACGGGCAAGGCTTCGACATCTGCTTTGGCCGCAGCCCCACGACGGAGAATCAAGATCACGCCGCTGGACAGCACGACCACCGAATCTACTGCCGCACCAGCAGCAGAACCAGAAGCTAAGCCAGAAAAGAAGACTTCGACAAAAGCAAAGACAGATAAGACTGCTGCCTCGAAGCCTCCTACAACTCGTAGAAAGCGAGATGCCGCAGCCGCTCAACTGGAAGATGAGGGGGGCGAAGTGGTGACTGAGCAAGAACCCAAGCCACGTGGCCGAGGACGAGGGAGGACAGTGGCTGCACCCGCAGAGAATCAACCTGCTGCCGCCAAAGCTTCGACTGCAGGAGCAAAGCCGCGAGGTCGGCCGAGAAAGGAGCCAGCAGTTGCTGAACCACCGCAAGAGTCCAAACCGGCTGTTGCAGTTAGACAGACTCGGGCTAGAGCAGGGTCCAACAACTCATCAGTTCCGGCTGACCCCCCTGTGCAAGTGGTTGTCCCTCCTAAGAAGAAGGTCACTTTCCAAGACCCTCCCAGTTCTGAGGATGAAAAGGAAAACAAGCATCCTGCGACTCTAGCCAAATCAAAAACAGTCAAGAAGGCATCGGCCACGGCGAAGAAGACCGAAACGGCCACTAAGGGAATGCGTGCAAAGCCAATCCGCAACCCTGCAGCCAGCAAGACCACCAGAACCGCACGAGGCGCGGCGGCAAAAGCATCTACCCAAGTGGAACAGAAAGAGTCATCAAAGGTTCTACCACGGGTTTTGACCCCGAAGAAGATCACGCAGGTTGCAAAAGCTCAGCCAATGGACAGCGAGGATGAAGAGGATGAGCTTGCGGGAGAAAAGACTCCTGTTCGCGACCTCAGTCTTTCTCCAAGACGAGGTATCATTCCCTCTATGCCTCGCTCTGCATCGCCGGTCAAGAAACTGGACTTCACACCCGCCTTGAACGCAACATCTCCCGAGAAGCCAAGTGGTTCTCCAGGTGTGGGCATCATTAGCCCGCCTCGGCGTATGCCGGCCTCGCCATTGAAGGACTCTCTGAAAGAATCACCACGACGAGCACCTGAAGGCATTACCGTCTTCCGAGCACAGATTCAAGACAACAACAACCCTGGGTCTGTCAATCTGCATCCTTCCAGCAATCAGGCTATGCTTCAGCAATCTCCCAAGCGAGGATTGGCGGATAAGATCATATTCCCTCCATCTGCGGCCAAGTCTCACAACTCTCCTTCCAAGCGCGCTTTGCTGTCTTCACCGGCTCGTCGTCTGTTTTCGCCCTTGAAGCAGAAAACTCCTGCTCGGGCGTCTCCTTCGCCGAAGAAGAAGTCACCCCAGCAGGACGAAAGCCCTAGCTGTGGCGGCAAGTCCAAGAGCCCTGGCGATGTCGATCTCGTCATGTCTTCTCATTTCCGTTCTTCTGTTTCGCCTCAACGGTTGGCTAGAATCTACCGATTGAGTGACGATGAACTGGCTCAGGAGGCAAATCAGGATATCGACTTTGATCGGTCTGTTTTGAGTGTCCGAAGTCCGTTGAAGGTGGATAAGTCTGAGCCCCGGGTGGCCGGAGCGCTTCAAACATTCGATTTGGGCCTGCCGGTTGAGCATGGTCATGTCGAACAAGACCATGGACTAGCATTTGCTGAATCCTCGGACGTTGAAGATGGCGAATCCAGTGTTCCAAATGAACTGAAGGTCTCTGAGCAGGAGGAAGCGTCTGCTGCGGGAGCACCGGACCACCCAGCCGACCCCGACCATGACAACGACGAGACTATCGTGGATCCTACAGTTGAGGAGGGGGATGACGATGATGAAGAGACCGTGGAAGCGGCCCAAGAAGCTCCCAGTCCTGCATCCGTTTCCGAGTCAAGTCACGAACAGCCGACTTCAACGCGCTCATTCAAGCGACCTCGCCTGTCGAATGCTCTGTTCACCCGAATCAGAGACAACAACGAGGATTCGGGAGATGAATTGGCCGCAGATCAGACGCCAGCCAACAGACTGCTGAAACCGAACTTTCGACCAAGTCTGACTGGCGCAAACATTCGATCCCGTTTGTCGGCCGGCATAACACCATCACCTGGCTTCACTCCACTTGTAGAGCAAGTCCGAGGATGGCACGCCGCCAGTCCAGAGAAGAGAGTTTTGGACCAGGAGTCAAAGTCGTTCTCACCTTTGGCCCGGATGCATGTCGAAGGCTCGATCGAGGTCAACAGACAGGGTACGCCAGTGCGACAAGCGCAGAAACGCAAGTCTTTGGCGAGCAGGTTGTCTTTTGCCCCTTCAATGGTCGGCAGTCCTGCACAACCCGAGTTCTTTGCAGAAAGCATGGAAGCCAAGGCATTTGAAGAACAGTCCGAGAGTCGGGATGTGCCGGTTGACGGCCATGATGAGGAGGACCTTCACGATCTTGTCCAACAGGACGCTTTGGGTCCTTCTGCGGGGATTGCTGGTGACAATGTTCAGGATCATAATGATCTTGACGATGAGGGCCAGGACGGTTCTGGTTCTGAATCAGTTGAACAACGCGAACCGGGCGACTTGACGACGGACTTGATCAATTTCACAAAGGCGTCGGATACTGCCATGGTGGATTTCCAGGCGTTGGCGGACGAGGCGGAGAATCTCGCAGGTCAAGATCAAGACGGGGAAGACGAAGGTCAGGAAGCGAGTAATGTTCTACAAGAATCTGGCTCGGGTCCATCGCTTGAGAGGGTTGATGAGGAGGAAGACCAATCAGTCTTGTCCACTTCTTCCGACATGTATGACGATGAGAATCTGGCTCCGGTCCCTGGCTCTGCTGCAGAGGTTGTTGATCAGCCTGATGTCGGGTCTGATTCTGCTCAAGTCCTAGTCGACATGAGTACTCATGAGACTACCGAAGGTCAGCCTGAAGGAGATCAGGTTGATGACCGGCAACCTGACGAAGTTCCTACGACTGAAGTCCATACCTCTCCGTCCACAATGGCACTTACCTCGGTCGAGGCTCCCGCAGAGATGGATTTCAACGTCACACCCATCAGACCCGATCCCAGCCTTCCACGATACGTTCATACTGTGTCGAAAGTTCCATTGCGTCCTGAAGGACAACTACCTTCGGTTTTGTCACCGCTCAAAGCTATGCGGAAGAGACCGAGATCGATGTCTTCGTCCAACTCGCTGGCAACAGCCGGTGTGACCTTCCTCGGCAACAAGAGACGCAGTCTGGGAGATGGTTCAGGTCTTGATATCATGTCCACTGCCGATGCTAGTCAGCATCTGGGGATTCCCAGCTCGGATCCCGCGGTGCCCACTTCATCGCCTCAGAGACGAATTCGCAGTGCGGCACCCAGTCCGGCCCACTCGCTTGCCAGCCACTTGACTACTCCTGGCCAAATGAGCTTTACGGTGGAAGACTTTGGAGATAGCACCCTTGATGGGATCGAGTTGCCGAGTGATGAGTTGTCTGGTGATGAAGTCGACATGGACGAGTCCAGATCTGTGGTTGAAGTGGGTCATACAATGGCCGAAGAAGATGTCGACGAAGACAGTATGATGACTATCGGCTCTGCTATGTTCAAGACGCCTACCGTCCCGACGCAGAGACGTAGCCTTGTCGGTGCCGTGTCATCTACTGCCAAATCTGTCCGAACTGCAACTCCTCGATCCACGAGAAGCATCAAGTCCAACGTGGCGGCCACACCACGTCAAGCCATGACTGCGAAATCTAGTGGAACTGCTACTGCTACTGCTAGTGCTACACCCCATTACGCCATGAGCACAGTGTCGAGCAAGCGGCGCAGTCTCGCCACTTCTGTCAATCTTACCCCATCTAGAAGAATGACGGCTTCCGGAGCAGCAGCAGCAGCTAGAACTCCAGCTACTGTGGGCAGCACCAGTAATGCAGCAAAGACGCCCACAACAACTAATACTCTGCTGAAGAGCAAATCTGCAGCAGCATCAGCGGCAAAGACAAGCCAAACCCACGACCGAGCACCATTGAATACAGTGGGAAACATTCTGAATGGCGCAGTTGTGCATTATGACATCCATACCACTGAAGGACAAGATGCATCAGGTGTCTTTGTCGAACTGTTGACTGCCATGGGAGCCCGATGTGTCAAGGAGTGGAAATGGAACCCTAGATCTACAGCCAGAGCCAGTATGCCTGCTTTGGGTTCGGCTGCTGGGCATGACTCGGGACTGTTGTCGAATCCTGGCGTCACACATGTCGTGTACAAGGACGGAGGCAAGCGAACACTGGAAAAAGTTCGCTCAGCCAATGGCTCCGTGCTCTGTGTTGGTGTCGGTTGGGTTCTGGACTGTTACCGTGAGGGCAAATGGCTCGATGAAGCGGCGTATGCGGTCGACTCGAGTGTTTTGCCCCGTGGGGGGTCGAGACGGCGTAAGTCGATGGAACCGAGGATGTTGCAGCAGCTTCAGGACCATGAAAAAGCATATGGGACACAGCAGGCAAATGGGAAAAGACACAACAGACGGGTCACATTGGCTGATCTTGCTCACCTACCACATGGTTCATCATCGGTGAAGTCGAAATTGACAGAGGCCATGAAGATGGATCTGATTAATACCCCTGTGAGAGGGATGGAAGAGCAGCAGCAGAGGCCAGTGCCAGAACCAGAACATGCACAGGTCGATGCCGATGGCCAGCAGTCTTTTTTGAATGAGGATGGCCATGTGTTTGGCGTCGTCAATGCCGAAGCTGAAAGTTCGTCTGTGAATGAAGACTCTGAGATGTTGGACTATGACGTTGTTGAAGTTGGAGAAACCAGCTTTGGTGCCTCTGTCTCTGTCTCGACCGCCGATGACGACTACGACGATGGAACTTTTGGTCAAAACGGCGGTTACGGTACCCCTACTGCTACTGCTACTGCCACGATGGCAACAATCGGCGGAGAAACTCGAAATGTCAACTTGATCACTGTTGATGGGTTCGGCTCGTTTGAGCAGCAGCGAGACCAAAACGAAAACGAAGACGACGAAGAGGTTGGAGGGAGTAGTATACTGCTCAATACGGCATATACCCCTCTCCCTCTATCGCGAACCACGACCAAGAGAAACATTTCGACTCCCGAGTCGGCTTGTCTAAATGTTGACTATGATCCAAGAACGGCAGCGACTCCGATAACGCCGTATTTTGCTGCCAAATGCAACATTAAAGAACAAGATGTGCCGCAGACCGCGCCGGCGAAACAGATGAATAAAGGACTTTTTGAGAATGATGACGACAACAACGATGGTGAAGAGGATGATGGGAATGGGAGGAATCAGAAGTTTCAGGTGAAATCGAGATCGAAGAATGGTGATGCTAAGGCTGACGGGGGACTGGGGGGTAACGGTCCTTCAAGAAGAAAGACCTTGGCTGGAGCGAATTTGAGACGATTACCTAGGGGTTCTGTTGGACTTGGGTTCAAGCCTGTCGTTGCGAGTCCGTTGAGAAAGGACTAGGAGTCGACTTGGAGTGATTGATCATGCTCCTCTTGGGTTCTGCAAATTCTGCTTTTGGGAGGGTCACTGCTATGTTTTGTTCTGCAGTGCATGGTTGATTGAGTACTCAAGTGACTTCATTGAATGACTTGAGTGAATGACTTGTACGGGTGAGGTTACTTTTGGATGGAGTTTTGGTACCTATGCAGTTTCTAGCAATTCTAATTTTTGTTCTGTGATCTTATCTTCTCATTTCGGTTTATTTGATTCGATTGATTTGTAAGTGGTTGATTCACATGTTGATTGATTCGATATATTCATGATTGATTACAGTCTCCTTTCCTTGATTACAACTTCAACCCCAAGTTGACATGGACAGACTTTGTCTGCGTATACGCAGCCAGACCGGCCTCACCCAACTCACGGCCAATGCCGCTCTGCTTGACACCACCAAAAGGAACACGGAAGTCCGAGTCATTCGAGCTGTTGATCCAGACCATGCCGGCCTCGATGCGGGCGGCGACACGATGGGCGCGCTCGATATCAGTGGTAAACACGGCACTGCCCAGACCATAGGTAGTGTCGTTTGCCATGCGAATAGCATCCTCCTCAGTCTTGAACGAAGCCACTACGACAAAAGGACCAAAGATCTCCTCGCGGTAGATCTTCATGTTATCTTTGACGTTTGTAAAGACGGTAGGTTCGATGAAAAAGCCTTTACCGCCGCCGACATTCTTGTAGGGCACACCGCCGGACGCGAGTGTGGCTCCTTCTTCCTTGCCGCTTTCAATATAACTCAACACACGCTCGTATTGGGCCTTTGTGACTTGCGGTCCTTGGAACGTGTCGTCTGAAAACGGGTCGCCGACTTTTGAAGTCTCGCGGACGACTTTTTTGAACAGTTCGACAAATTTGTCGTAGATTCCCTCTTGCACAATGACGCGCGAGGTGGCCGTGCAGATTTGGCCTTGGTTCGACATGATGCCGATATGGGCCCATTTGGCGGCCTGCTCGAGGTCGGCGTCGTCGAAAACCAACAATGGGGATTTGCCTCCGGTCTCGAGCGTGATGTTCTTCATGTTGACGGCGGCCGCTTTCATGATGTGTTTGCCCGTGATGGTGCTGCCCGTGAAAGCGATCTTGTCCACGTCCAAATGCGTGGCTAAGGCCTGGCCGGCTTCCCGACCGTAGCCATTCACAATGTTGACCACGCCCGGAGGAAACACCTCGGGAATCAATTTGGCCAAGTACAAAATGGACAGAGGGGTCTGTTCGGCCGGTTTCAGGACCACCGTGTTGCCGCATGCAAGAGCTGGTCCTAGTTTCCATGCCGCCATGGCAAGCGGGTAGTTCCAGGGGATGATCTGCGCACATACCCCGATGGGTTGTTTGAGAGTATATGCGAATTTCTGCGGGTTGGTCGGGATGGTTTCGCCGTGGATCTTGTCGGCCCATCCGGCGTAGTAGCGGATTGTGCCGACCACTTCGCCCAAGTCTTCGTTGAGGGCTACGCTGTACGGTTTGCCGTTGTCCCATGTCTCGAGAGTGGCTAGGGTTTCCTTGTTGGCTTCCAGCAGATCCGCAAACTTGTACATCAGCGCTCCTCGGTCTGTAGCCGGCAGATCGCGCCATGATGGATCGTTGAATGCCGCTCGAGCCGCTTTAACGGCTTTGTCAATGTCGTCTGCGGAGGCTGCTTCGACGGAGCAGATTTCCGACTCGTCTCTGACAGCCAATAATGTTAATCATGTTTATGATGTTGAAAGATGTCTTTTTCTTTTGTTTTGGTTGATGAAGAATTTGTTGGCCACTTACGAGGGATTGATGCTGGTGATTTTCTCTCCCGAGCTGGACTTGACAAACTCGTTGTTGATGAAGAGTCCAGTTGGCAGAGTGATCTTCCTGCCGTTGGGAGCGGTGAGATCGACCTTGAGGTCTGCCATTGTCGAAGAAGCCCGTGGGTATGTGGTGGTAAAGAGTCGGAAAGGAGTTGTGGTAATGGAAAAACAACTGGTCTTCAAAGGCTTGGAAGCACACGATCTGACCAGCAAAGAGAACATGTATTGAAAATAAAGGACTTGAAGAAAGAATTTCCAGCCAAGCAGGGGATCAATATACTAATCGAGGAGACACCCCGGCCAGAACAATATACAGTAGTAGTGAGAGGGGTTGATTTCTTGCAGGTAATGGATACCAAGGTTTCGTGGCTGGATGGGACTTGATTTCCCCTTTCGACTTAACAACTGGGGCGGTGATAAGCGATGATATGTTCGGGGTGGACAGTAGGAGGTGTAGTTGGGTAGAACCAGGGTCTTGACGAGCTCGACGATGGGTCGGCCAGGTCCGTCAGGGCGAGTAATGCAACCTCACAGGCAGTTGTAGTGTAGTGGTAGAGGTGTGCTACTGGTAGAGACTAAAACTGCACAGGTGTAAGCTGTGGTGGAGGGGTAGATTGTTCCCCGAAGAGGTGCACGAAGAGGGTTCACTTTTATTAGTCATCAAGCCCTGAGTGGTTGAAATCTCAGTGTCTTGAGTCACGGAAGAAGTTGTCAGTGTCAGTAGCGGGGGTTTTACACGTGCTAGTCCAGCAGAGGCTAGTGAGGGGCAGTGTTGCTGGAGTGTTCAGCAACAAAACAATCAACGTGCAGCTTTTCTTATCGATAACAGCCCCTGGCTACGCCTCCCTATTTGGGTTAATGACCTGGTGCAGGAGCCTGAGTGGCTCGACAAACGTTCTCCATCCGCAGGCACCACTCCTAAGCTACAATAACAACAATTTATAGTGGATATGAGTTCGGTTGGGAACGGTAAAATTGTTATCATGCTCTTGCGATGGCCACAGGTTGCCAACTGAGAAACAAACGACCCGAAGAGGAGGGCAGAGGCATATCGAGAGCTTGAGAAACGTTGATAATTCAGGAAAGTCAAGACATGATGTGGCTTTCGAGACCGGCCGGATAGACTCTGTTTAGACCTGGGGTTTCCGGCAAGCAAGAATATAAAGGAAAAATAGCCGAATCAAGCACAGATGAAGGCATATTCACCGGTGTAAAGCTACCTAGCAAAAGCCTCAGATTCTGGACGGTCCGTAGGTAGCCGTCTTCGAGCTGCGCCCGAGCGTGGTAACCATTATCCGTAACCCTCGCAAATGCTGCTGACTTCTCGTCCTATACATCTCGCAAATTGAGGCCTCACTGCAGCCCTCATTCTCGATGCCTCGCAGCCATAACAGCTTTCGACTGCGATCTCGTTGCTCCTCCCTTTCGCCGTGTCGGAAACGGCGTTTATTGTTGCCCTAATCACAGATGTTCCGGTATGTGCTGTTAATAGAGCCATCCTCGGCCCCCAAACCACTCAAGAAGCGTCTTGAGATACAGGCACTGACTGCTGAAGGTGTTCTGCCTCGTCCGCCTCGTCTGCGCCATCAAGAGCGGTGCCATTGACCTTGCCGGCCCCAACCTGATCAAGTTCGACTTCGTCAGCCCCATCTTCGTCATCCTCAACTTCGCTATCATTGTTGCCTGAGACCGATTTCGCCGCATCAGTGTCCAAGTCCGCATCCACATCTGCTACCGTTTCCTCGCCCTCTCCATCAACATCGGACTCGTAGCCGTCTTTACCAGCTTCTTGACCGAGCGTTAAAGGTTCCCCAGCCAGTTGAAGAATGAATTCCCACTCTGCGGGTTTCACCGAAGAAACACTCAGCCGACTCTGTCTGAGCATCTGCATGTCTTTCAACGCCCCACTAGGCTCGGAGAAAGACTTGAGCTCCTTCAGAGTGACCAACTTGTCGAACTTTCGCACAAACTCGACGTGCACGACATCCCATTTTGGCTTGGCCCGATCAGACTTGGGATCGTAGTAAGGGTGGTTCGGATCGAAGGCAGACTCATCGACGCTGTGTTCTTGCACGATACGCATGACTCCAGCAATGCCGGGAACATCACAGTTCGAATGGTAGAAGAATGCAAGATCGCCCTTTCGCATGGCTCGCATGTTGTTGCGAGCGGCTGCGTTGCGGACACCTAAAGCTGGTAATTAGCCAAAATCTCGATAGGCGACATGGAACAACTCCTACCATCCCAGGCTTCTGGTTCAGTCTTGGCCATCAGATCGTCGATAGAAAACTTGACATCATGACCCTTTTCCATACGGGAGTTTGGTTCGGCCTTCATGAGCCAGTACTGAATGTCAGAATCCTTAGTTTCGACACCCCCGTCCTGCTCTGGAACATCAACCTCGATATCGGAGTGGGCAGAGTCCTCTTCAGCGACAGGCTCAGCTTCGGCCTTGAGCTTGCGGGGCCTACCACGTTTTCTCACGGACGCTGCGTTTGGAGCTTTTTCAGTGACAGACTCAGCTTTCGCGGCGACCTTGCGAGGTCTGCCACGGTTTTTAGGTGGCTCGTCTGTGGATTTCACGGTCACAGGCTCAGATTCGAACGTGACCTTGCGGGGTCGGCCACGTTTCTTAGGTGTCGCGTCAGTTGCTGTCTCTGCGACAGGCTCAGGTGCGGCCTGGACTTTGCGGGGTCTGCCACGTCCACGTTTTGCCGGTGTTGCTGTGGGAGTATCTGCGTCTGCTCCATTTACCGAAGAGACCGACACTGAGTATGGACCGTCAGCATTGTCAAAGATAAGTCGCGCCGCCTTTGATGCGGTGATCATTTTGGCTCAGAGTAACAAACTTACCAGCCCGCTTTCGCTTTCGTCCGACGACATTCTGAGTGGCTGCAACAGGAGATTTGTGTATAGCAGCACGGGCAATAGGACTGGCACCAGACGGGCGACCGCGTTTGCCAGTTGTACTGGGCCGATGGTGGTTGATGAAGTCATATCTTGGTTCACTGACAGAATTTCGCTTGGGACGACCCGCTGGGGATAAGACCACACTTGAGGTATCAGGATCGGTGGTCTTTGTGCCCTTTGCCGATGCAGCCTTACGTTTCTTCGGCGGCATGATGGTCAGAGTCGAGAAACAGGAGATACAAGGGCGAGTAGTGTAAAGTCGAGTAGTTGCTTCGTAGGGTTTCAAACTAAGAGGTGACTTGAATCGTCCAAGGCTCTGTCAAGGTATAGTTAAGATGTTTGTAACTGTGCCTTATCAAAAGGCAGTACCACTTTGTTAATGGTCGACGCGTCGCGTATTAAACTTCATTTCAAGGTCGCGGTGAGCCGCGATCCAGAAACCGACCTCGGGAGATTATTAAAGTCTTGGCGTACTAGTATTATACTAGTATCGAAAAGCTGTCGCTTTACCTTCTACCATAGGTACCGGGTACTCCCACTAACTCAGTTAAGCAATATACTAGAATAACTGCCATGAAATCCGAAAGCTATCTACTGACCACAGATACCTAGGTACCCTCCGAGTCTTTACCCTTCACTAAGGTACATCGTTGACCTGCATCATAATGTCGGGTCCTCGTTCCCAAGTCAGTATCAAGTCAAAGCACGCCTCACTGTAGGCAAGCAGTTCGACCAGACTCAGCGTATAACTATATGCGCCCTATCGAGGAGCGCTACCTGCTACATGCATCAAAGCCAAGGTACCAGGTACCAGGTAGGTACACAGCCTTAACAGCAGCACTGTACCTTGCTTTGCATACCTCAACGAGTCACACAAGTTGTACACAGATCTCCGAAGATCCCAGGCTGCAGGTTACACAACATACAAAGTTCAAGCCGAGCAACATACCTTGCAGCAACAGGTATCACTGCCTTACTGTTAGCCGTGCTTACTGGACAACCCCATACTTGGATCCGAAACCATGGTTCAGGGAACTCGCACCTACCTAGGTACCTACATACCTACTTACAGACCTTACTAATTACTTGTAGGTTGGCACCAACTAGGTACAAGACCAGCAGTGGTGGTGGTACACTCCGGTGCATCATATACCGTTACGATGCTGATCTGCTTAGTAGTAGCACTACACTTATACCAACCTTGAGAGGGCAGGCGTCCGAGCCATGATACAAACCCTTGAGGCCGCGATCTCGGCGACCAGTGTTGCGTTGCCATGCGCTGCGATGAGTTGGTATCTACGTACCGGGGACCATCAAAGCCACACGATGGGGTCTAAGGAGCCACGCAGAGCAGTGCAGCGCCATGTGGCCTCGTATTTTGACTACCTGGTAAATTATTGTCATCATCTCGTCACCCTTTTTGCAATGTTGTCAACCCCACTCTCGCAGCCCAGCGGGACGGCTGGAGATACCCTCGTACCAGCACGCCAAGTGCGCAATTAGTGCCGTCACCGCCATCTCTACCACCCGCCACCACCATTATTGCAGTAACTACTACTGCAGTATATATCCGACAAGATACCTAGGTAAAGATATCGTTCTGCAGCGTGGGGGACTCGCGTTTCAGGGATCTTCTTATGCATCTATAGACTAACCACTCACCACATCCATCCCCAGCACGAGCATAAGATTGCCACATGATAGAGATAAGATATCCCATCCCATCCCGCTCAGGGGAGATCTAAAAACAAATACCCCTCCCTGAAACCTTACTGTCAAGAAG